AAAAAAATTTGATGGAATAAGGAACAAAAAAAAAGGGCGTTAAGGCCCCCCCCCCCCCAGGATTGTTTCAAATTAAAACAGGGATGGTGGGGGCCCCCCCCCCCCCCCCCCCCCCCGGTATGGTTGCACTTGTGCAGGCAAGACAGATGCAGAGTTCACAACCTAGGGCAACTTTTTTCTGAAACTTTTGTTCGTGACCAGATTTGGTCATGAACTGAGGCATTCATGAGCTGAGGTAACTATCCTATATAAACTTAATTTGGTTGGCATCAGTGAGGAAGGGATGCAAGTATTTATAGCATGAAGCTTGGGTTTTCAAGGCCTGGAAGTCTTGAAAGACAGACAACCATCATTAAAAAATATTTTATTAAGAGGAGCAAAAAAGCTATAAACAGCTAGTAATTTCATAGTACATAAATAACACTGTTTAAGGTGCTTAAGACGTGGACCTCCCTCTGCTGCTTGGTGGCAGTAAAAGCCTATGTAGAAAACGCCAGGTCCTGCAGAGAGGCTGTCAGTGCCTCTATCGAGAAGTGGAGGTTGCAGAAGCCAAGCTGCAGAGACGGGCACGAGCCAGCTGGCAGACGCCTTCCGAGGGGACAGTGCAAAGCTGGCCTGGTCCCCACACGCTACACACGCTGGCTCCCCCGATCGGGGTGTGCAAGTGCAAATGAGCCTTGAAGCGTACAGTGAGCGGTGAGCACACACAACATGCAAATCGGCTCCAATGCAAGAGCTTAGAAACAGTTTAGTTGGGAAATGAGAAAATCCAGGTAAAGCCTCTGAAATTAAACAGAATCAAAATACATTTCGGAACAAAAGCCTGGCGATGACTAAGGTATGTAAATAAGCTGCAGGGTATGCAAAGCACCGAGTGGGCTTCCCCAGGTGGCCTCAGCTGCAGTGTCAGGTGCGTCCTTGTGCAAGGGGCAGGTGCCACAGCTTCCTTGGGCCAGCGCATGTGCTTTCCCCAGAGCTGCTAGGAAACCTCCAGATGAAACTCCTGCTCCATAACCCATACCAACTCCCTACTTTCAAACCAGTGGGACACGGGAGCCAGAGAGAATTCTGAGAGGCATGGACTTGCCTCAAGCCAACAGGAAGCACCACCAGGCCCTGGCTTCACCCTCAGGTCAAGGGCTTCCTGCAAACATCCCTTGCCTTTAGACTTCTGCCAATGAGGAAGAGTGCTCTTCTGCTCCCCTAAAACCATCTCAATGGAAGTCGGCACACTCGAAGGGGTCTAACCCTCCTCACTTCTTGCTGCGCTAGACTTTGACTTGAGTTTTCTCTTGGCTGTAGCCTGCTATCCACTCTACCTCATCCCGCTTGCTTGCATACAGCCGGGTGCTTGGTTAGTGAAGGACAGCAGGGACCTGCCATCCTCCTTGAGAAGCAGTCACAGAAGACAAACCAAGGATGTTTTACAGTTGAGTAGGAGACAAATTGCAGTAAAACATATTTCAAACATACAAAACCAGCTTTCTCTGTATTACACTTCTCTACAAAAGCTCAAAACACCCAAAGCATTTGTGCTCAAAAGGTCAACCAGTAGTACTTCCAGTAGCAAAAGAACCAAGAGCAAAGTAGACAGGAATATATAGTAAAACTCAGCAGGAAACAGCAATTCCCTTCTGTCTCCCTTGGGCCACTAGAAATGGTGCTTGCAAGACACACGTCAGCCACTGAGGTGGTGCCCACACGAACTTCCACAACCCCCACTCATTTCAGTGGTGTTCATGCTGGGTTCTTGCAGAGCTGCTCAAAGGCCAGCAGCAGCCCAATTCCAGTTCCTAATCAGCCCAACCCTCCAGCTGATCCTTTAAAAGCCATACTTGGCTGCCTGGAAAGACTGGGCCTCTGCTTTTTCCAAGCTTTCACATGTCCCGTTTCGCCCAGACAGACAAGACACAAAACAGCACGTGGTTTCTGCAAGGATGCAGTGGGAGAGCAGCACACCGATTCAGCGGCACACACTGGGAAGCTTGTTGCAAGGGGTGCGGCTGGGCAGCAGCACGGACGTTCGGCTGCTCACGGTCTGCAGCAGCCAGCACCTTTCACTTCCTTCTTGACGTAGTCGTGAAGCTTAAACCGGGGCTCGCTGGGCAGCTTCAGAGATCTGTGCTTCAGCTCCCTGCACGTGAGACAGAGGCTTCGGTGACTCCGGTCTCCTAAACATCGCTGCGGGCCTCTGAGAGCCACTTCGCCAGCTCACCGCAGCAGACAAAAAATGGCCTTTTGTGGCACAAGTGGCTGACACATGGCAGAGGGTGAGGACACCTCCACAGCCCATTCACTCCTATGCACAGGCCAGCCTGCTTCATTCTGTCAGGACCAGGAGGTCACGCCAAAGGGCAACCCACTTGGAAAGAGGCACCGTTCGGACAGCTAGTTTAATGCTGCCAGTTCCCCACCATGTTATCAAACGGGACTTCTAGCAGACTGCAGTCTTGCGGCAACCTAGTCTGTGTTTTACGGTCAAGGTTTGGACTCGGACTGATTTCTTTTGCACATGCGTCACTACCAGTGACGGGCCATGTCTGCCCTTCAAGCCTTAATCTGCCCAATTCTCTGAGCCTGTGACATCAGGCGTGTTTGCTCTTGCCCTGCTTACACCTCTCCGATACTTACCTCCTGCTTTATTACATCTTGTAAACAAAGTGAGGTAGCTTGAGGCCTGGTCATTGCATACTTTTGAGACAGTCCCCAAAAAGATAAATTAGGAACGACCTCTGCATTAGAGTCAAAGGTGTACTGACTGCATGTTGGTGGACAACCTCACAATTCTTATTTAACTAACTACACGGTACTACTGCTCAGACAGAAATCCAAATTCATCTGGCTCTGCTGTAGATTTCTTTGAGTTACCTTGCCCTGCCCCGCAAGTGTGCCACCTTCCCCTAAACTGCTGCTCCTGGGGTGCTGAGGTTGGGGGAGACACAGGCAGGTCACATGCTTAGTGTGAGACGAGGCTCAGAGGCCTTCCTGGCTTCCGCACTTCACCACTGTGTCATACCAGCTCCCCAAACTCAGCTGAACAGCAGATCTGCTGGGATTAGCAGAAGCTGGGGGCTTCTTGGAGGCCTCTGGGTGGGCACTGGTGAGGCTTGGCCTGCATCAGCTCGACGCTGCCCAGCTTCCGGCCTCCTGCAGCCCTCCTGCAACTTTCTGCGAAAAGCAAGTGGCATGTGCTGGCCCTGTGTCACGGGCAGGCACGCGTTAAGGGGAGCAGAAGGAAACTGCTTACTTGGCAATGGCTACGAATGCCAAGTCGACATTCAGTCCGCTCCTGGCACTGGTCTCCATAAAGGGCACTCCGTATTCCTGCACGACAAGTAGAAAAACAATTTGCATCCGTCAGTGCCCACCTGTCCCTCACACGGCCTGTCAGAAGTCTGGAGGGGGCACCCCCTTAGGGGATGGAGGCCACTGGGCTGCCTCGCCACTGTCGTTCCACACGAGACCGGCCCGTGTCCAGATTGTCCCAGCAAGCAAGTTATCCTCACGGAACAGGCAGCCCCACAAATACCTCGGTGAAATTCAGCTGTGGCTTTACCACAGTGGTAGGATAGTGAAAAAAGCTTGGGGGGGAGTGCTTGGGCCAAAGCAGGTGAAATTGCTTTGCTTCTGGGTGCTCTGGAAGCTAATGAAGAGACACTGCTCACATGTGCCATTGTGTGGCTCCTTGGCAGATTACCTGCAGAACGCTGGGGGCGGTTTGGTCCACAGGTGCGTGGCAGAGTTTGTCATGCACACACCTGGCAGACTCCATAGGTGGGGGCTATTTATTTGTTCTTTTGCTGGTCAATCAAAAGCCATTATCTGAGCTCGAACATGCTTGCTGTGTCAGTGCTGCCCCTCTGCGAGACAAACCCATCTAGGCAGATGCTTCATCGCGAACTAAGAATTTTTATCCATCTGCTTTGACTCCAGTTGGAAAATGAAGCCATATATCAAGCACAGGTAAAACATGTAGTTATACCTTGATTTTTGATTTCATGTAAATGCAAAAAATAGGGAAATCACTATTCAGAGTGGAGTATAGTCCATACTCCACTCTGAATCAAGCACAGATGTTACATTATAATTTTAAAATCCTTGGAGTTGCAATGACAGCTGGAAGCATGTGCACCATGCCAAGCATCATCGTGCTCACTGCTGCTCATTCTGTGACACGGAGAGCAAAGTGAATTCTGTTGGCAAAATTCCCTTCACGTGCATCATGCGTGTCTTGCAGAAACTAGGCTCCTGGGACAGCATTTCAACACATTTTGGGGGAAAGGACACAATGCGCAGGCTGGGTTGGTGCCTGTACCTTGGCTAATTTCTCCCCGTCTTCTCGCCTCACCACTCGCTCCTGAGTTGAGTCCACCTAGGCATGACAGGAGAAGAACAACCGTTGGCATTGAGAGCCCATTCCTGGCTGCATGAGCCGTGCTAGTGTAAGGAAGAGCTTTGTGGAGTCAGATGGGCATCCGCTCCCTCTGATGACTCGCCTTTTGCACAGAAAAAGCATCTCTTGCCACCCCTCTTCTTGCCAGTGGCTTCCATTGCAGGCAGGAGTGTCTGGGGCATTCTGTTGCTACACCAAAAGCTGGACTACTCACCTTGTTTCCCAGCAGCATAAGGACCACATCTTGCTTGGCATATTCATGGATTTCTGTCAGCCAAGCCTAGCACAGAAAAAAGACAAAAGCACCTGAAACGCCATCACAAGAGCCAAGGCCAGAAACCAGGACAGTCGGGGGTCTTGGGTTTTCTGCATCACTCAAAGAAACTGCCCAGGAAACCTTTCTTGGGAACTATCAAACAGAACTGGAAACGGCCCCAGAGGCAACCAAATGGCTCACTCCGGTGGCCACGGAGCCCCATCCTTACGGAGCAAGTTGTTCACTGGGTCAGGGTTTCAAGTGTGGGAAGGCAAAGTGGCTGTACTCCACACTCATGTCTTTATACCAGTTGGGCTTGTTGGGTTGATGGCAGAGGACAAGGAAGGGAGCGCTGGATGGACCGGAAAGGCTGCAGACTTGCCAAGAAGGCAAATTGCAAAGTGGGGTGGGGTGTGGGCTGCTCCACAGCCCCCCTTTTGCAAGCATTTCACTGGCTACCGGTCTGTTTCTGGGCACTGCTCAGAATGTTGGTTTTGACCTATTAAGGCCACATGGTTTGGAAGGGCCTGAAAGAGCATCGCCTCCTGGTGGAGCTTCCCCGGTGCCAAGGTTCCTGCAGGCCTTCAAAACAGCCACGTTTTGTGGGGGCATTTCCCCCGGGCTCCGGAGCATCTTGCTGAAGAAAGCGAGGCTCTTCGTTTCCTTCCCACTAACAGGTAAAGATCTTTTCAGGCAGGCAGCCTCTGCCCTCTCAGCTGATACCTTGCTAATAGGCTTGTTAATTAGTTTGGTGCTGTTTGTTTTGCCAGTTGTGTTTCAACAGCTTTTTAAACATGAACTTGCCCTTATGCTATGCTTAAATTTAGGATTTGTTAACCTGGTTTTTGTTGTTAGCCAACTAGAGTGCCATTCTTTTGCTGGAAAATTAAAATTAAAGCTTTGACACTATGGTTTTATGCACAAGCCTCCGGTCAAGCCAAAGTCCTCTGAAAATGTACACAAGGATGCAGGAGCCACAGGGTGATGGGACAGCTCCAACCAGGCAGGCCACAGAATTCCATGGCCAATTTCACCAGCTGGCCATAACTGAGCATGTAACACCATTTTTAGGAGACTGGGAAGAAATGTGCAAGCAGCGGGGTGTGCAGAACCTCAGATCTGCAGCCAGACGTTTCTGAAGCAAGAGCAAGTGCTCAGTCCAGGAGCCACTCAGCCTGCAAATGCAAAGTTCTTGAATATTTGCATCCAATTCTGGAACAAAAGGTTTCAGTGTCAAGCCCCTATAGCATTATTCATGTGCAAGTGTTCTGGAACATCTGCAGTGACCTGGTAAATAATCCCAGGTATCCTAACCATTCGCTTTCTCCGTAAAATCTGCTGTAAAGGCTGAGAGACTAGATTTACATCTGTGCGAGTGGAGAGGAGGCACTGCTCCCCGGCAAGGCTCTTGCGTCACCTGCAGAGCATCCCATGTCTGCACTCAGCATCTCCAAGCAGGGCTGAAGCTCCAGAGAACTTCCAGGCAGTGTCAAGGAGGCTGGGTGAGATGGACCCAGCAGGGGCCAACTCGGGTAGCTGCTCCCGGTGCTCCTTAGTCCGTGGCCACCAGTGCTGCTCGGCTGGCAAGGTCTAACCCCTCGTTAGCCAGAGTCTGCCTTCTGACGTGCTTTCCATGGGGTGCCTCTTTCTCAGCCCAGAAGCAACAACTGTGTTCACCTTGACATTCAAGGGGCCCTTTCTGGCACCTTTTCCAGCTCAACAGCGTTCTGTCAGCAGCACCCAGAACCCATCCACTTCAGTTACAGGGCATCCAGCAGGTGCCACGCTCTCCAGAGTGCTCTTACTTCAAGCACAGCCAGGATGATCTGCCCCGAGACCTCCCTGCTGCCCAGGAGGACAAGGAGTACCTGGGGCGGGGGCCAGGCCTCCTGCTTGTTCCTCCGCCGTGTGCTCCAAGTGCCGGGGTTCTCTGAATGGCAGCTGCCCCGACCGAGGAGGCATCATGTTTTTTGCTTCCAGCAATGTTGTATTAACTCTCGATCTCCAGCTTTGCAATTCTGCCCCCATAACAAGGCGCAAGATCTGAGCAGGCTGGCTCCTCTCTGGACAGACACGCACATGCTGCCTTGTCGTGAGCCACTAGCAAAGCGCGCATGGCCTCCCAGACTCAACGCCATTCAGGCCTTGCTGGGAGACACAGCAGAGAAGTGCGTCTAACTCATCTCTTCCTTCTCGTTCTCAGTGTGAGCTACTTGGCAGCGTATGAATGCAAATAGCACAGTTGATTCGAAAGCTTCCAGGGGAGACACTGAGGGGCAGCAGGCCAACGGAGGCTGTGCACTGGGGCAAGAGGCTGAGGTGGCCAAGACCAGTCCTGGGCAGCCAGCAGGGCATTCCTGGCCTGGCTGCTGAGCAGTCAGCTCCATGAGTTCCAGCAGGGCTTATTCCCAGACAGGCCTGCAGCTTAAGGCAACCTTAAGCCCTCCAGGTGTTTTGGATGGCAACTCTGACCCACAGCCTTGAATTAGGGCAGGGGATTAGCGAGCACTGGTCGAGTTCAGCTGGCCTGGAATCCCAACCCGGGCCCTTTCTGCTGGCTGCAGGTTGCGGTTTCCTGGCTCACACACATTTCTTCCCACGTTCTGAGCGGCTGAAATGCCTTTAAGGCCTCATTACTTGAAGCAAGACAATGAAGCCACAGTACAAGGGTCTTTTCTGACCCCTCGCCCGCCTGCCTCTGGAGCCTAGTGCTCAGCCTCCCAGCCGGTCCCAGCCCGATCTGAGGCAGGGCTTCCAACAGCTCCAGGTATAAAGGCAAGGGAAGAAAAGGGCAGGCACCCTCCAGATGGCTAATCTCAGGCACCGAAGGCCAGGCCAGGCCAGGCCGGTGTTTTCCCTACCCGGCACTTGCTGCATTTCCACCACTGGCCCTGGACATGGGAAGTTCCTGCTGCCTCCTCAGATCCGGTATCCAGAGCCGCCTGTGCTTCTCCACCACAGACAGCCATCGGCCCACATACTAGTCTGCTACTGCTTGGGGACTGCCTCTCAGCCGGACCTGGGCTGACAGCTGCCTTCCTTGAAAGAAAGACAGCAAAGAAAGGTGCCTGCAAAAGCCTTGTGGTGCTCGACAGGTGAGCGCACTCATGTGGGCATTTGCTTTTGCACCTTTAGCCCACCTCATTGGCCGTGTGCAGCTCTACAGAGACTTCTGGAGGGGGTTTATGCACTACCTATGGGATTTCTTTCCAACCTCACTGTCTACAGCAATTCCTGAAACTGCCACCGTATGCACGGCACGAAAACACCAGCACTCCCAGGAACGCACTCCTGTCTGAGGCATGGGACCGCCACCTGCAGCAGCAAATGCCGGGTGGACGGGACAGCTGGCCAAGTGCCACTAGACCCGCTGCTGCTGCTGCTGCTGCCGCTGCCAGAGTGATGCTGGAGCAGTTCCTCCCTACCGCCTGGCCCAGCCCCCAAGGCCTTTCCATCCAGCATCCAGCCTCACCCGCCTCCCCTCATTCTGACTCGGGGCACTTCTCCATGCTCTTTCTCCCTCTTCTCCGCAGCACCAGGCAGGGAGCAGGGTTTGAGCGGAGCCCTTTCCCTAAGGAGAGCTGACCGAAGAATGCTCAGGACTAGCCTCTTCCTCTCTGAGAATTAGTGCAGGGCAAGGGGCCCCGATGACTGGAGAAGGGCTGATGTTGTTCTTATCTACAGGAAAGGGAAGAAATGAACCTGAGAACTGTAGACAGCTAGGCTGACATTAACCCCTGGAAAAATTCTGGAACAGATTATACAACAAGCAGTCTGCAAGCTCTTCGAAGAAAATGCAGTGATAACTAGAGCCCAACATGGATTTCTCAAGAACAAATCCTGCCTAATTTCATTTTTTGGCTAGGTAACCTCCCACTTGGGCTGTGGGAATGCTATAGACATAATCTATGTAGACTTTAGCAAAGCCTTCAGCAAAGTGCCCCATGATATCCTGATTACTAGACATATATCAGGTGGATTCAAGATTGGACTCAGAGAGTGCTCATCAACCACATGTTGGGGATTACATGAGCGGAGCTGACTGGAGCCGGGGGTCAGGCTTGGTGGCCCAGGAGGGCCTTTCTGACTCACTTGGTTTCTATGTTTCTATCAATGGCCCCTTCTCAAACTGGGGAGAACTCAAAATGGGGGAGCAAGATGAGGTGCTGTTCAGTAGGCAAGAGCACTGTCAAAATATGCCAGAGGTCAAGAACCTGGAAGGCAGCATGATGAGGAGTGAGCCTCTGGTAGCAGCTGCTGAAAGCAAGCTTCCCCCAGGACTCCCAGGTGGTGTGCAAAGGGCCCTGGCAGCTGCAGGTGACAGAGGGACCAATCCTGCAACACCAGGGCTGCTGTTCTGGCACGTGGCCCACAGGAGTGGCCCTGAAACTGCCCAGATCCTGACAAGCCAGGTCCAAGATCTCCATCACCCATTTCCAGCATTCCTGCTGCACCTCCCTGCCTTTGCCCCAAACTCCCAGTAAGCAGCACACGGGCTTCAAGCATATTTGGCTGATTAAAATGATGGCAGTTCTTCCAAGATGTCTTTTGTCTTGTCTTTTCCTTGTGTTACTGAAAACCCTAACAAAACCAAGAGCAGGGGGGATGTTACAGCAGAAAAGACCTCCAGGCACACTGCCCCTCTTGCGCAGCACAACATGTCTGGATCTGGGCACAAGATGGGGCTAGAGCAGCATTGCGGAGGCGAGAAAACAATTTGTATGTGCGGCATGCCCAAAAACCACGGCTCATGCTGCAGGACGGAGGCTGCTTCGCGGAGATTACCATTCGCTGTTTGTGTTTTAAAAAACCAGGGGAGGGCCCAGCTGAGCAACACCGACCAGAATTAAAGACTCAGAACCTGGTGTCCTTTTCCAGCTGGCTTTTGACTCTGCCCTCTGGGTTGGACAGTGCGTGATTGTGCACAAAACTGCACAGCACCCTTGACGGGCAGCACCGTGGTCAGCGCCTACATAAGCTCCTCAGACGAGCCCATCGCCTCCGGAGACGGCTGTTTCGTTCCC